CACAGGATTGAGCGCAGTAATGGGCCTAATAGATCAGCGAATCATCCATACAGTCTCGAACTTGCTCATAAGAATCCAGTCGCATTTGCCAGCGTAGAGCGGAATAGAAGGAACAAAAGTGAAACCTTCGGCCTAGCTTAGCCGGAAACGTGGCCGCGCGTTAAATGGGCCAATGGGCTATAACGGCTCGCGAGAGCCGCTCCAAAAAGGAGAAAAGTCCATTAACTTCATTCTACCTTCTGAGTTCTCGTTATAGGGTGTCAAAAAAAAAAGTTCTCGTTATAGTTTAATTTTGTAACTCAAACTTTAAAACAAAAACATATTATCTCTAAACTCTTAAAACTATTTAAATTACCTCTCTGTCATGGTATGTAGTGTCTTGAAGATGGTGTTGTTCTTTTTAGTGAAAAACATATTTGATAAGATTTTTAAATCATAGGAAATGTCTCTAAGTTTTTAAAAATTCTATAAATAAAATCTAAAGATAGATTAAGATACGATAAATTCAAATAAAATATTTAAATATCCTGAAAACATTTTTATAAACTTCAAAAATTAGGTTTAGATATAGAAAATGAAAAAATATTTGTAAAAATCTAGAAATTTCTCAAAACATTCTAATCGATACACAAACATGTCTTAGAAGTTGAATGCATGTGCTCTAAGTGATTTCATAGTGAAAAGTGCATATATGTTTCTTGCATGTCTATGAGACTTTGCAAAAGTGTTCTAAGTCCTCTAGGTCACATCTAGTAGGTGCATTGGTCTACATTGGCTTGGTTCACAAAAACATATATTTGGAGGTTTCTTTGTGATGAACTAGCTATACTAAGTCTCTAAAATCTCTAGAGGTCTAAGCTCGATATTTGTCTTACAAACATGATGGGGAAGAAGCAGCATATGCTCCTTGGTGGTGTAGGATGTTCCTAGCTTGTTCTTCTCTTCCCCTTCTTGAGATGCCCTCCTTGGACCTTCCCTAGCTAGAGAAAGAGGGATCCCCCTTCAATCTCAAGAAAGAGCAGGTCTAGGTCATCCTTCAAGTGATGTTGAGCTCCATGGTCGATCCTTATTGCTCCTCTTCTCCTCCTTCACTTTCCTTGGCTTGGTGAGAGCTTAGAGAAACGAGAGAGCAAGAACTAGAGAGAGTGAAGGAGAGTAAGATATAGGGGGAAAGGCTCCTAGTAGTTTGGGTTTGTGAATGGGAGACATGTAGTCTTACATGTGGACTGAGGGGAGATTATAGTTTGACAACTCACAAAACTATGCATGGTTGTGATCTATCGATCTGTCCAATGTGAATTATCGAACTGTCTGATATGTGTCATGTTTGTGTAGACTAAGCAAATCCAAACTTAGCATTCATGAACTGTCCAATGGGGAAAATTGGACCATATGATGAACAAATAGAGCCCAAAAAATGCAAAATTTAGCATGCAAGTTTTGGAAACTTGAGATTAAATGCAAATGATGCTCATGTTGCTTATGATAAGCAAGATGGCACGACCGGGTGACATGGATCTTTGTGCATCTCTTGGACACTTTCAAAGGCTTGCCATTTGGTTTTGTTCAAGATGGAAGGACATATAAATTGTGTGATGACCTAGGGTCAAACTAAGTACCAAAGCTCAATTTTCCTAAGATGTACTCCTTTTGTAGACAACAAAGCTATCACCCTTCAAAAAGCCAAAATGATGCCTGAGAGACCAAGTTAAGAAGTGCCTTGGTCTCATCCATGTGTGATGAATGAATGACATAAGAGTTAAGAGGTTTAACGTTTTTCCGATTGAGTCATATTTTATATGTGTTTGATTATGCTAATGGCTAATCGGAGGGTGTCATGTTGAGTGTGTTGTGCAACATGTCTCTTGGCTTGTGAATGTGCAGGTGTTGAATACACCAAGATGGTCAACGATGATGGAGAAGGTCAAGTGTGGAGTCCGTGCGCAATGGACTGGGACTGGTGAAGGGAGGACGAGAAGGCTTGGACTAAGGGATCAGAGGCCGGAGAACAAACCATGTGCGGCTCACATTAGGCATAGGAAGACAAAGAGTACATGTGTGATGGAGATGGCATTGTCCAAGTCAAGGAAGATGACGATAGTGCCGTGATAGTTGGCGGAGGCCGAACACGCATCTACATGGGTGATGAAGATGGCATCGGACAAGTCAAGAAGGAAGGTGAGGCATCAACCTTGGCCAAGATTGGACATGAGGTGACACCGGTGAGTCATGCCTGGTGAGGTGTGCATGAGGGTTTTCTTGTTTGGTCCTCAAAACCGGGATGGCAATTTGCTGGTTCAGGCCTCAAAACCATCGGTGACGGGTTTGACCGGCTCAGGCCTCAAAATCAGGGAGTGGCGGATCGGTGAACACATGGTGGCATCTCGAAGCTTGAATCAAGGTGAAGCAATGTCGAGAAGGCGTCGGGTCCGTTGGATCGACATGGAAAAACATGGATGGCTATACCCCTTGGGTTATTTGGGTTGAGTGCTTCACTTAAGGGCAACATGGACAATACCCAAGTGCCTATATATACTAAAGATGGCTTATTGTGTGACTAGGCCTTTGGGGATTGGGCTCACTTTTTTGAGTTGAGAGTTTTGCTTAGAAGTTAGATCTAGAGAGAGGGAGAGAGGAGAGGCTCTTTGACTGAGCTTTTTGCCATCCAAGATTTGTGATCTGCTAGGAGTGGCTTGTAATCACATATGGTGGCTAATCTAATGGTCAAATTTGTGCACCACTTGTTCTCCTATCCCAAATCTGAAATTTTTCTTTTTCAATGATTTTTGGAGCTATTTTTGGATGATTTTCAATCTTCTTCTTTGGCTGAGTTGTATGTTTGATTTTTGTAGTGTTTTAATACCCTTGGAACTTGTCCAAATAATGGCTTGAAGCCTAGCACCTATCTCTATTGTTCCAAACCCCCAAACATATCTTTTCTAGCCCCTTTTTGGTGAAATTCTTGGAATTCTTTGAGCTAAAGTTTCTGAGGTGTTCTTTCCGTGATGTCTTAGAGACATGCTTAGGATTTGCCTCCAACAAATTCACCATGAGCACCATCAAATTTTCTATCTCAAGAAAATTGTGAAAGCCCCATTTTAGGAGAGAAAATTCATGATTCTCAGCCAAGTTTTGAGCTTTTAGGTAGATCTCTTGGAGATACCTTAACCATGTCCAAGGGAAGGTGTGTGCAAAGTTTGGAGTCATTTGATCTTCATTTGATCAAGTTTTGCATTTTTTCTTCCTTGAATTAGCCTACTGAAATTTGCTTCCGCAAAACCTCCGCGCGCAGATGTGGATCCACCGTGGCGCTGAACCTACGTGCATATACGCGGAACCTTCAATTCACACCTTGGCTGAGAACTTCTTTGTGTGTTTTAGTTTGTCCTCTTCGGCTTTGCTTCCGTAGTGTTTTTGAGCCATTTCTGATGAACTCCAAGGTCATCTTGTCACTAATTAGCATGTGTGATTGAAGTGTTTAGAGGAGAAGTGTTCCAGATTGATTTTGAGATATAGGCCAAATTCTTTCTTGATGAAGAATTTTGATTGGCTCTCAGTGAACCTTCTCTTGTCGCCGTTTTGATCCTTCAGTGCCGATTGCCAACCTTCATTAGCTGCTTCACGCCTTGACCTGTCAATCTCCAACACAACTTTTCAACAACTTACTAATGTGCATCTGTACTCTTTTGCATAGATCAAAGCTGCCACCCTTCAAAAGGCCAAGTTGATGCCGATTGCCGAACCTTTACCAGCTTCTTCACCTGCCAATCTCTATCACAACCTTTCAACAACTTATTAATCTGCAGCTGTACACTCTTTTTCAAAGAACAAAGCTGTCACCCTTCAGAAAGCCAAGTTGATGCCGATTGCCGAACCTTGATGGCTTCATCAGCTGCTTCACCTGCCAATCTCCAACACAACCTTTCAACACCTTACCAATCTGCAGCAGCTTGTCCAACAAACCCCTTCTAGTTTGGACTTTGGAGCATGACTGGTGGGTTTATGTTTGGGGATCAGACATTTTTTCCTCGAGGATCTGGCTTTTTCTTGCGGCTCTAGAAGTGTTCCAAAGCACAAAATTCTCTTTGGCTACTTTTCAAAGCCAGACTTAGTATAAGAAAGTTACTAAAACCAAGGAACCTAACATTACCTTTTCAAATACATAGTACAAGAAACTTACTACGACGAAGGGACATAGACCATGATTTTACCGTCTACAACGAACCTAGCTTTACCTTTTCAAATACATGGGCCTGTTCGCTGGTTGGGGCTGATGCTGGTTTGGGCTAACTGGTGCTGGTTTTTTGTGAGAGAAAAACACTGTTAGCTGGCTGGTTTGGGCTGGCTGAAACCAACAAGCGAACAGACTTAGTACAAGAAAGTTATTACAACCAAGGAACATGGAACCTGGTTGTACCGGCTAGAACGAAGGAACATGGTTTTACCGTCCGATATATAACAGTGTTATTTGTGATTCCTCCGTTGAAGAAACTCTTGGAACATCTTTTTCCTTCACTACTCTTTTGCTAAAGATTGTTGGACGTTGCTCAACATTCCAAGTGCCTAGTCCTCAATGGAGATTCTAATTCTCTTCGTTGTTGAAGTAAATGGACAGTAAGGAGTGACTACATTGTTTCAATCTACAGGAGTTCATCCTTCCGTGAACCGCGGCAAAGATGAATTTATTCTCACGGACAAGAAAATTACTCCCTCGTTTGTTTTGTGGCTAGAAGCTTTTGTGTAGTTTTCTTCGTTTTCTTTGTTTGCCTTTGTGTGTGTGTGTGTTTTTTTTAAGAGAACGTGCCTTTTGTGTAATTTTCTTCATATTACTCTGCGTTTACCTTAAGAAATCTATCGATGTATATAAGCAAACGAAACGGAAGAGTTCATTCATTCACTGGAGTAAATAAAACTGCATGGCAGCCACGTATCATCTCCGCGCTAGTCCGTTCTCCTACTACTACTCGATGCCGTAGGTCTTCTTGAGCAGGTTGATGAACTCATCCACCTTTTCCGGCGGGTGAAGGCTCTTGGCGACGCTCTCCCTCTGCGCGCACCGGCGCGCCCACGCCGCCAGCCTGGGCGCGATCCCTCGACGCTGAACTCCCGTACCTCTCGTAGCTGGGGAGCCACGGCACGAAGGGCACGAGCGCGACGTCCACGAACCCAAACGCCTCGCCGCCGAAGAAGCTCTTCTCCCCGAGCTCGCCGTCCAGGTTCCTGAGCACCTGCACGATCTCGGCGCGCGCCTGCGCCTGAGGCTCGCCCTTGAGCTTCCACAGCCGCGTGCCGACCTCGTAGACCTTGTCGGAGTATGCAGCCCAGAAGCGGGCCTGCGCGCGCGCGTAGGCGTCGCCGGCGGGGAGGAGCTTCGGGGAGGCGTCAGGGAAGGCCTCCTCGAGGTAGTTGAGGATGACGAGGGACTCGCACACGGGGCGCCCGTCGTGGAGGAGCACCGGGATCTTCTTGTGCACCGGGTTGGAGCGCAGGAGCAGGTCGCTCTTGGCGCCCAGCAGCTCCTGCTCCGAGTACTCGTAGGGGATGCCCTTCTCCGCCAGCGCGATCCGGCAGCGCTGCCCGAACGGACTCACCCAGAAGTCCAGCAGCACCAGGCCCTTCTTTTCCCCCGCCATTGCCAGCGTCTCTGGATCTATGATGCTATGGAGAGAGAGAGAGAGTGACGAAGCTAGCAGCAGCTGGGTACGCTTTATAGGGGAGGGGAGATCTGGATGGTGACTGAGACTGTCGTCGCGATGTGATTGTGAGTTTGTGACCGATGAGCGAGGGAGTCTGCTGGATCGCCGGCTTTGTCGCTAAGCGATCGACACTACTACACGAATCAATTTGCGCAGCGTGGCTAAAATGGGCTCCGTGACGGGCACCACTTTTGCCCGCCACGGTTAACGGTGGCGGTGGTCGCCACCGAGGCCGCCACCGAGGCGCCCGCTGCTTTGGAAAAAGTTTACTGCGGCGGGCCACCTTACTTGCCCGCCGCAGAAATTTATATTTACCGCGACGGCGGTATGAATGGCCCGCCGCGGTTAATAAGATTAACCGCCGCGGGCCACATTAATCGACCGCCGCAGAAATTTATATTTACGCGCGGGCGGCATAAAATGCCCATGCCGCCGCGGTTAATAGTATTTACCGTGGCGGGTTGTTTAAACCGCCCGCTTGCGGTAAAGCCTCTATAATCACGCCGCTTACTTCATCTTCTCCACGGGTCTTCGGTTCTTGATTGTTCGCGTTTAGAGTCATGTCTTTGCTCCGCTGGCTGGGCCCCGTCCCGGAACCCTAGGCCGGCCAGCCACCGCACGCGCCGCGCCCGTCCCTCCTCCCCGTGCCCGTGCCCCCGCCCCGTCCTCCTCTCCCGGAACCCTTGCTCCGGCCATGCTGAAGCTCCTCATGCTGGGCCCTGCCCCCCGGAACCCTAGCGCCGGCCACCGAAGCTCCTCCGCGATCACCGCCCACACGCTGGGGCCCCGTCCTCCCCCCGGTCACCGTCCCGTCCTCCTCCCGGTCACACCGTCCCGTCCTCCTCCCGGTCACCGTCCACACGCCGGGCCCCGTTCTTTGAGCCTGACGGGCTCTAGCCGCTACCTCCTCACTTGGAACTCTCTGCGCCAAAGCCGAGGTAAGAACTAGGCCGAGGTAAGAACTACGTAGTACCTTGGTTCTGTAATTACAATGCTGTCTCCAAAGCTCAAATTTTATTCTTGTAGTAATCTGCTATATTTTCCCCATCTGAAATGTAATTAGAGATTCACATTTGGGCTATCCTAGCTTTTTCTAGGTTCCACTACGTTGTTTCATCTCATTGTGAAAATGCAAAACTGTCTTTCCTTGGTATGATGAGGAGTCTTCTAATTCTTACGTTAACTTAGTGTTTAAGGCGTTTCAGTTTAGGGTCATTTCATAGAGCTCTTAGAGCATTTTCGAGCTTAGTTATAAATTATATGCTCATTATGCCAAGCAACTTTGAATATGTAGTCACGTAATTCGTGGATAGGAATTTTCAATATCGCCTATATTTAGCCATGAAACCTGGTTTGTCTTTTTAACAATCCCTTTATAGGCTTATCTCCAACAGGTTGAGCTGTTTCCATATTTAGTTGGAATTTGTGACCTATTTATCTGAGGTTGTCTCCATGAAGATCGAATCTCAACAAACATTGTCTCCAACAACCTATTTGTGAGAAATTTGAGATGAATTGATCTCTCTTTTGCAATTTCTAGTAGTATACTATTACTACCGCCTACTACTTTCTCTATTTAATCTATTCCTATACTTAATTTTGAGATGACTTTGTGAACAAGGGGTATAGTAAACTCCTTTTGGAATGGACGGCTGAAAATTGTACAGGATAAACTACACTTGGTGAATTTTGAACTGCTATACTCTTGATCTATGATGCTTTTCTTTGAACCGTAGCATTTGAATTCAATTCTTTTTTTGCCTATGATGCCAAAGAAATTTGTGACAAAATTACGAGCATATGGCACTTGCCTATGATGCACCTTGCCTTTAAACCTGATCACATGCTAAAGTTGTGAGAATTTTGAGATGAATTGGCCACTCTGCTACAATTTTGCCAAATTTGATATTATTTTGGTGGTGGTGCTACCTATTTCTCTACTTAATCTATTCCTATACTGTATGCCGCTACTCATCTGTCCTCCTATACTACTCCTATACTACTGCTATACCACTGTTGTATACTACTACTACGCCTACTACTACTCCTCCTCCTCTACTCCCTCCTCCTCCTCGATCTCACGCCTACTCCTCTCTCTCCTCCTCCTCTCGCCTACTCCTCTACTATCCTCCTCTGCAGCTCTTACTCTACTCCTCTTACTCTACTCTACTCTACTCTCACCTCCTCTAGTCTTCTACTCTATCTTGATGGTCGAAGGACTTAGCCCTTTGGGGCCAAATTTTGAAACTATCTTGATGGCTTTTGTTTGGTATTTGCAATGATGATTCTTTTCACACTTCTAAGTCGAGGAGGCGTTGGCATATGCAATGATGTGAACCCTTTTATGTCGAGGCGTGGCGATGATGATCGAGTGCCCCCGCTAAACTAGGATGGCTTGTATACCAGATACAAGCAACCAGTTTAAAAGCGATGTGATGACTATGGGGCAAATCTGAGCCAACTACTACTACTTTAAGGCTAAGCATAAGAACCGCATCAAAATCAGACGTAACTTTCCGGTAAGTATTTGAAAGGTTTAATTGTGCTTTCCGTTCATATGCGTTCTAATGCCTGTGTTGTAATGCTTGCGTATCGATCATGCAGTGTGCCAAACAACCGGTAGGATCACAAACCTGTGGCTTCTACGCCTGTGAGATCCTGAGGGTGTGCAAGCAGTACAGCAGCAATTGGAAGGTGCTCAAGAATGGATTGAACTGGTCGAGAGACATGCAGAGCATCCAACACAGCTTCAAGCAGACAAAGGCGGACATATGTAAGTTTGTCTTAGACAAATGCGTGCTTGAAGGGGGCACGTTCTTCCATGAGAACAGCCAGCTAGCGATGTTACCGGAGTACGAGAGGTCGAGGAAATGGCCCACGATGATGCGTCCATGAGGATTACACTTTAAGCGCATGTATAATGACTTTAATATGTAAATGTAATGAATTAACGATGACAAGAACGACTAAGTGAATGTATATATATATATATATACATGTATATTATTTCATGTGTAATGTCTCGCATACTTTTTAAGTTTAAATGTGAAATCTGGATGTGATTTGAATTTGAATTTGAATTTATATGCTTGATGTATTTTATTTGAATTTATATATATGCCACGCTTTATTTTTTAATTCAGGAAATAATTTACCGAGGCGGGCAAATAATAAAGCCCGCCACGGCAAATCAACATATAACACGGCGGGCCACAAAAGGTGCCACTTGCAGTTAACCTATTTATCGCGGCGGCGGTGTAACGCGTGCCCGCGTGGTAAGTATATATTACCGCAGCGGCACGTTACACCGCCGCCGCGGTAAATAAATTAACAGCAATGGCGGCGCGCCGCCGCCAGCGGTTAAGCCACGATTTACCGTGGCCTGTAGGCCGCGGCGGACGGCTTTACCCGCCGCGGGAAACCCAAATCGCCCGCCTCCAGTAAACTTTATGTAGTAGTGCGAGCACGCAAGGAGATCACCTTAAGATCGTGGCACGTGGTGGACACGCGCGCTCTGGCCGATGGACTAGCTCACGCGGCGTCGTGAGCCGTGACAACACAGATGGCTGGCAAATGGCATGCATGCACGCACGCGACGCCAAACGACAGAGGACGACCGAGCAGCGTAGCGTCGTGGCCTCGTGAGCTGATCCGCTGATGGGCACCGGCAGCGTTTGCAGAGATCAGATCGATGATATCTGGAGGAGAGCATCAACGCACACACACGCGGCACGCATGCATGCGGTAGCTACGGCGACTGTGTTGATCGCGAGTACGAGTGCGTGGTGATCTCTGGTCTCCAGGCAGGTTCACGTGCTTTGCCTCTTTGTGAACAATGCCTGTCTTAAAGAGATTCCTTCCCACGAAGTTCGCTGCGACTTGCGAGCACGCAAACGTTCGCTGCTGGTCGCGTTTCTTTGTACCTTCCATTTTAAAATTACCCGGTACGTAATACGAATTAGCGTGCAATTCAGCCATTGAGAGACGCTAAAGATGCACTGTGGTTTAGTGCGTGCGGCAGAGCGCGCGTCCCTACCTTGTTTTTCTCCTAAAGAGCACATCCAGAGAGCAAAGTATAGCAAAGTGAATCTAAGTAAGGTCTTCAAGATCGAACACTATCATCGGACAATAAATTAAACACAAAGAACCTTCCATAGTCTCTTTTATGCATTGCGCTAATAAAGGTTGTTGAAAGCCAAGTTGAGTGTGTGTTGTAAGTTTCGTCAAACTCAGATAAAGACCTTTTGGAGGGGGCGAAAACAAGAAAGTTATTTGGCGATAAGCACGAAGTGGCTTGAAAGCAACGCCAAAGAAAACTCATGGGCATCAGTGCGATGATGTCACGCAGAACGCACTGTGTAAGACTATCTCCATCCACAACGTCTAAAATATAAGACCCATTTAATTTTTGAGTAACGCTAGAGACAAAGGATTCAATACTCATTCGACATCTTCTACAACAACAGGACCCAAAAGAGAATCATTTCTGCAAATGAGTTTCCATAAGAGAGGAGGCTCATATTTGGACTGTGGCTCTCAGGCAACTCAAAATATGTCTCCTATATAGGTACTCTGTTGGAGACCAATTTTGAATCTCTTACTACCTATTTTAGGTTTATATGCCCATATGGTTCCCTTGTAGGAAATAGTCTTAAGTATACTCACTCGGTCTTTTATGTCTGTCGTCCAAGCATTAGATACCAATACTCACGAGAAAAGGCCTAGGCAACCCTAAAAAACAGTGGGGAAAGTGCACATCTTACACTGTGTTACTGACACATGAGTCACTGGTATGGTATTTCTTATACTATTTATATCGTCATGATGATAAATATGTAAAATTTCCTAAAACAGTCATTCACTGGCTGCAGTTAATGCTCGGTGGTGAGAGGGGAAGGTGCACAGGTGACATGCAAGTGCTGTGGTAGGATGACACA